ATTTTCTCCTACTTTTATTTTTGTATATTATGATAAAAATAAAACTTAATTAAGGTATGAATTATTTTTGTATTGGATTAGAATTTAATATAATATCCTTTGTGGAAATGAAAGCAGTCATTGAAAATTAAAATTAAATAAATTTACTGTAACTATAAATTAAAAAACTAAAATGGGTAATAAATATTTGCAAATCACTAAAAATTAATTAAATATTTCTAGTAATTTTTTTAGTTGAATATCAATTTGAATGAAACAAATAATAATAACATTATTACTTTATACCTAATATAAAGTTAGTTTTGAATTTTATTTAATAATTATTAGTTATAACTTATGTCATTTAGTTATATTGAGTGTTGGTATAAAAGTGTGATATAAATGTTTTTGTTAGTAAATATAAAACTATTAATAATCATATTTTATTGAAATATAACCCGAAAATATTATTTTAAAAAAGAGCAAGTAAATTAGTTGACTTTGGAAAGTAAATAACAGTTATTTAAAAATACTATTCCTTAAAGATGATTAAATCATAAGATGTTCTCGTCCGAATAATTTCTTAAATTTATCAATAACTTCAAATTTAGAATTAAGAGATTTTGTGTATAACTGACAATGGATCAAATTTTGTAAGGAATTTGTTGAATTCAGTGATACTTTAGAGGCTGAACATAAAGTTATGGATTTTGTATCAATTTTTNATGTTTAAACTACATCGACCAAGTGTAGTTATTGAACTCACAAAATACAAAGGCCGTTCTGATGCTAGTCTGTCTATAGACAATTAATTCTATACAATTGCTATAAATCACCATTCACTGTTTTAACTTTATGTGTGCAAAATGCTGTANTATTTCTTTTATTTATAAAATTTACAATCTGTAAAAAAAAAATTTTACAATAAGTAAATAGTTTAGAAAATATACATATATAACATACTTAACATTAGTAGTCTGTGAGGTCACTCCCATTGGAGTCGCCTACTATTAAAAATTTATATTTAGTTTTATTACATACATAACAATAATAATAATAATAATAATAGTATATAATGGTATAGTAGTTTGTACAATAATTAGGAGTTTTAATTACGTAATGTTAACAAGATTAAATCATTTATAAAGATAATAAGTCTCTGCACCATTCTCTCTTAAGACGCCTTACTGGATTGCCAGGCAAGGCGTTTGCGCTCAGCATTTGAATTAATCTTTTGGGGTTGGATTCAAGTTTCATCCAGAATCTTTAGTAATAAAATCTTGCCATTTCTTTAATTGTGTTGAGATAGAGGTCTGAATGTAGGCCCATGTTTGTGACGTACCAGGGCGCCCTGGTTATGATTCTTAAGCAGATGTTTTGGAAACTTTGGATTGTTCTCTGGTTAGAACTTTTTGCTGGTCCCCAAATTATTATGCCATAAGATCATAGTGGTTGGAGTAATGTTTTGTACAATATAATTTTACTTGACAAAGAAATATTTGACTTAAGCAAAGGTCTTAGTAAACAAAAATTTTTCTGTCTTCATCTTCCGTGAGCTGACAGGTCCTCGGGTGTGGTCAGGGTGGATATGGTGAACATCTTAATGGGTCCTCTACATTTATGTAGAGGATACTCATTGATATTGGTAACATGTCTATTTTACCCTGACATTAATTATTTAATATTATGTATAAATGTTATTTATTTTATTTAAATGATTTGATTCAGTTAATATCTGATATGTGAATTTGTTCTGAATTGAACTCTTAAATACTGCCTATGTGAGCATTATGTTTAAACTACATCGACCAAGTGTAGTTATTGAACTCACAAAATACAAAGGCCGTTCTGATGCTAGTCTGTCTATAGACAATTAATTCTATACAATTGCTATAAATCACCATTCACTGTTTTAACTTTATGTGTGCAAAATGCTGTATGTAAATAAAAGATAATTTGTTAGGCTGATATCATATTAATTGGATCTGTCTTAATTTACACGTTTCTGTTTCTATTATGACTTATGAATTCATATGTATTATCTTAGACCTCCTACTCATATTTTCTTTTGGCATCCTTGACCATTATTTAGTTTTTATTAGTATTTTTATTGGACATACTTTTGTTAATTCAAGTCTATATATTTTGTTTATTAGTATGATTTAATTATCCAATAAATTTTATTTTTTTTCGATAATTAAAAAAAAAATGAACTAAAAATAATTTTTAATCATTGTTATCTTAAATTGAAATTATTTTTATAACCTTTATCCCTAGGATAAGGTACCAATCCAAGGCGCTCCGGCTTTGCCTCTGATTATTTCTATTGAAAAGTTGGTTTCCTTCTACATTACGGCATTAGAGTATTTTGAGCAGTCAGATGATNCCAGGGCGCCCTGGTTATGATTCTTAAGCAGATGTTTTGGAAACTTTGGATTGTTCTCTGGTTAGAACTTTTTGCTGGTCCCCAAATTATTATGCCATAAGATCATAGTGGTTGGAGTAATGTTTTGTACAATATAATTTTACTTGACAAAGAAATATTTGACTTAAGCAAAGGTCTTAGTAAACAAAAATTTTTCTGTCTTCATCTTCCGTGAGCTGACAGGTCCTCGGGTGTGGTCAGGGTGGATATGGTGAACATCTTAATGGGTCCTCTACATTTATGTAGAGGATACTCATTGATATTGGTAACATGTCTATTTTACCCTGACATTAATTGTTTAATATTATGTATAAATGTTATTTATTTTATTTAAATGATTTGATTCAGTTAATATCTGATATGTGAATTTGTTCTGAATTGAACTCTTAAATACTGCCTATGTGAGCATTATGTTTAAACTACATCGACCAAGTGTAGTTATTGAACTCACAAAATACAAAGGCCGTTCTGATGCTAGTCTGTCTATAGACAATTAATTCTATACAATTGCTATAAATCACCATTCACTGTTTTAACTTTATGTGTGCAAAATGCTGTATGTAAATAAAAGATAATTTGTTAGGCTGATATCATATTAATTGGATCTGTCTTAATTTACACGTTTCTGTTTCTATTATGACTTATGAATTCATATGTATTATCTTAGACCTCCTACTCATATTTTCTTTTGGCATCCTTGACCATTATTTAGTTTTTATTAGTATTTTTATTGGACATACTTTTGTTAATTCAAGTCTATATATTTTGTTTATTAGTATGATTTAATTATCCAATAAATTTTATT